TTATTGCAATAGCCATTCTACTATAATGCACGCAATAACTAAAAATTTCCTCTGTGCAATGAAAAGACTTAACATATGATATGTGCTTTCCTGTGCATTTCCAATCTATAACTATTTAATTTATGCACTGACGAGAAAACATCAAATGAGCTGTCGCTTTGCAATGCTGTTGCATTTGTGTCATAAAGAGAGATTGTTGCATTAGCTGTTGCTTTGCAATGCAATAACTCATTTCGATGTGCATAACTCCGTCTCTGTCCGTACGTTACAATAACAATCGCATATACAATAATATGCATAGCAATTGCATAACAAACTGTTCCTTTTTATATTGAAGGAAAATTATTGAATAGCCATTATATTGTAATGCACACAATAATGAACAAATTCCTCTGTGCAATGATACAACATGTTCTTTCGCGTGCATTTCTATATAATTCAACTAATTCATTTGTGCACTGACAAGAAAACATCACATGAGCTGTCTTTAGAATGAATAGAATAACCAACTTGTTCCTTTGTGCAACGAAGAGATGTGCAATAAATGTGCTTTTGGATTCATTGCACATACGATCAAACGTTGTCCATTGAAGAATAACACTTGTGCTTTTTCATGCTTTTCCATGCAACAATTAACTTATTTAGTTGTGTAACTGAGACATCATTGCCTTTAAATTTTGGATTTGTTTGATGAAGATAAATTGGTGCATTAGCTGTTGCTTTAAAATGCAATAACTCATTCCGATGTGCATAGAGCTGATAGTTGCATTACAAGAAAGAACTAACTTCTGTGCAATGAAAACAGATAACGTGCTTTTGCCCATTGCATTATATATTGTGCTTTCGCATTGCAATTGCATACTAAACTAGTCCTTTTTATATTGATGGGAAATTTTTGCAATAGCCATTCTACTGTAATGCTAGAACTAACATTTTCCTTTCGCAATGAAAAGACATAACATAAGTGCTTTTCCGTGCATTTCCAATCTACAACTAATTCATTTGCACTGACGAGAAAATATCAAATGAGCGGTCAGTTTACAATGCCTAAAATTACTAACTCATTATTCAAATCCATTATTCAAATGACACTTGTGCATTCGCATACAACTACAACTAACTACCACTAACTTGTTCAGAAATAACTGAAGAGAAATCAATGCATTTAGATGTTGCATTCATGTGATAAAGAGAAATTGTTGCATTAGCTGTTGCTTTACAATGCAATAACTCATTCTGATGTGCATAGAGCAGATAGTGGCATGGCAAGAAAGAGCTAACTTCTGTGCAATGAAAACAGATAACATGCTTTTCCTATTGCATTATATATTGTGCTTTCGCATTGCAATTGCACACTTTTTATATTGAAGGGTAATTATTGCAATAGCCATTTTACTATAATGCACGCAAGAACTAACATTTTCCTCTGTGCAATGAAAAGACAATAACATAAGTGCTTTACCGTGCATTTCCAATCTACAACTAATTTGTGCACAGACGAGAAAACATCAGCTGTCGCTTTACAATGCAATAACTCATTCCGATGTGCATAGAGCACATGTGCATAGTTGCATTGCAAGAAAGAACTAACTTCTGTGCAATGAAAACAGATGACGTGCTTTTCCCATTGCATAACTAGTCATTTTCATATTGAAGATAAATTATTGCCATAGGAATTCTACTCTATTGCACGCTAAAACTAACATTGCACGCTAAAACTAACATTTTCCTTTTGCAATGAAAAGACATAACATATGTGCTTCCTCGTGCATTTCCAATCTACAACTAATTCATTTTTGCACAGTTTACAATGTCTAAATTTACTAGCTTATTCCATTACATCGCATACAACTACAACTAACTATTATACTACCACTAACATTCAGAAATAACTGAAGGGAAATCATTGCATTTAGATGTTGCATTAAAGAGAAATCGTTGCATTTGCTGTTGCTTTACAATGCGTGTTTTACAGCCAGACAGTGGTCAAAATTTGACCTGCTTTTCCAACACCGAGTGAAGTCGAATGAATTGTTATGAATTAGCCACTTTTTAATCATTCGTCGAATTCATACGACTTGGTCGTGAGATCGGGTTGGCTTTTCATATTTTTGGCAAAACGGTCATTTGACTTTCTATAAATATTCATTGACTCCATCTGATATTTCATCATTCAGAAAGTAACCTATTTTGACCTACTTAATATATATTTCTGTCCAAAGAGTCGTTGAATTTGAACTTTCCAAAAATACTCATTGACTCATTCTGATGTTTCTTCAGTCAGACAGTGGTCCATATTTGACCTACTTAACACATTTCTCTCCAAAGAGTCTTTGAACTTGAACTTTCCATAAATACTCATTGTGTACCTCTGATGTTCAAGTTCACTTATTGAGACAGTCAATACTGACTGTCTGGCTGAAGAAATATCAGAATGAGTCAATGAGTATTTTTGGAAAGTTCAAATTCAACAACTCTATGGACAGAAATATATAGGTCAAAGTAGGTTTGACCTACTTTCTGGCTGATGAAACATCAGCAGGTTCAAAAAGTTCAAGTTCAAAGACTCTGTGGAGAGAAATATGTTAAGTAGGTCAAATATTGACCACTGTCTGGCTGATGAAACATCAGAATGAGTCAATGAGTATTTTTGGAAAGTTCATGGCAAGTTCATTTATAATGCAATGGGAAAAGCCGTAATCTATTTAATTTAATTTATTTATTTCTTGCAATGTAACTATCTTTTCTATGCACATCGGAATGAGTTAGTTGTTGCCTGCATTGTAAAGCAACAGCTAATGCAACAATGCAACATCTAAATGCAATGATTCCCTTCAGTTATTTTATATAGTATAATAGTTTTAGCGTGCATTATTGTAGATTGGCTATTGCAATAATTTCTCTTCAATATGAAAATGACTAGTTTAGTGTGCAATTGCAATGCGAAAGCACAATATATAATGCAATGGGAAAAGCACGTTATCTGTTTATATTGAACAGAAGTTAGTTCTTTCTTGCAATGCAACTATGCACATGTGCTCTATGCACATCGCAATTAGTTATTGCATTGTAATATCGTAATAGCTCATTTGATGTTTTCTCGTCAATGCACAAATGAATTAGTTGTAGATTGGAAATGCACGGGAAAGCATGTTATGTCTTTTCATTGCACAGAGGAATATATGTTCGTTATTGCGTACATTAAGACTCAACACAAAGACTCGTCAAAAGGTTTTAAACAATATAAACTTATAGACTCCTTCTGATGTTATATTAGATATACATAGGTCCCTATTTGACCTACTGAACATATTTCTGGCCCACTGGTACTTGATCATAGGTTCCTACAGAGAGAAATTTACTTCTAATGATGTTGTTTTAGTTAGAAAGATTTTTGACCTACTGAACATATTTCTGGACAAAGAGTTCTTGATCTTGAACTACCTATACATTCTCATAGACTACTTCTGATGCTTCCTAAGCCATATATGACCTATTGAACTCATTTCTCTGCAAAGGATGTTCAAAAGGTTTTAAACAATAGAAACTTATAGACTCCTTCTGATGTTATTGTAGATTTAAAATCTTCGTTTCCCCTTGTTATTTAATTTAATGAAAAGACACCAGTCATTCTGCCAATATATGTTATTTATTTTACCAATTTATATAAGACATAAGGGAGAGAGAGTGGACCAGCAAAGATCGTCCTTGTTGCCTCTCTGTATTTTTCCTCTCTCTGTCTCAAACAAAGAACTTACACAGTACATATAGCTGTTCCAGAGAAACATCTGCTCTTAATCAATCACTGAAATGTATATTCTGCTCCACGGAAAGAAACATAATACACTCAACTTCCCCCCAAGTCCCCCAAACTCTAAAAGTCTTCCACATACAGAATTCAGAAAAGTTTGATTCATAAAAATGTAGATTATAAATGATTATGAATATATATGAAAAGTATAAAAAAATGTATATGAAAAGTGTAAATCACATGCATAATACTAATGATTATGATTATTAATAAAAACAATAAAAAACTAAAAACAACATTAAAATGATGAGATTGTGAATCTTCAGTCCCTCCTCTGGAACTACGGCCGTCAGTTCCACACCATCATCTCCAGGTGGCCAACCTATTGAAGTGATAGTGCTGAGGAGAAATAGTAGACCAAGACATAGACATAGAAGACAAACGAATTGAAACAGAAAAGAAAAGAAATAACAAACAAAAACCCAACCCATGTTATGTCCCCGCATACTATGTGTCATTTAACATCTATGTGTAAGCATTTAAAATGAACCCCAATCATCTAAGAAAAGAAAAACTAAAAAAGTCTTCTGCCCGTGCCTGGACTCGTTAATTAATTAACTCCTCCAGTTCCGAGCCAAAATAAGAAATTAAAATAAACGTTGATGTTAAAGGGTCCTATCCCTTGGGGTTGTAAATCAGTAAGTGGGTGTTCATTGTTTGTGAGGTTGTGTTTTGTAAGTAGTGTAGTGTATAAAATCTCCTATCTCACTCCAAATTTTCCATTCTCGGTTCTATCCATTTTGTCAGTAATAACCAATCTAAAAGGTTTGGTACTTCTCTTTCTTATCACATATATGATAAGTTTTATTACTAACAGAAACACAAAAACTCCTACCATAGTCAAAACTATCCATTCTAACCATGTTAAATTCCCTGGAATTCGAGCTAATTTCCTCTCAGACATCAATTTAGCTACTCCATTCGCTACGATAACATGACCCATTGCTTGAATTCCCTCCTCTTGAGCTGCCTTAACGCTTGCTTTAACTCTCTTGACCATTTCAAAGAGTTCATAATTCCTCTCTTCCACCAAATCATTATTCCACCACTGTGGATCTAACTGCAACAATTGTACATGTGGAACATGAATTCCACCCAATTGAAGAGGATAGAGAATCTCAACGCAAAATGGATCAGAAGGAATTGGACATAGCTTTCCTCCGTATATCATATTTTCATTTATTCCGTCATGTAATATACACCACTGTGCTTCTGACACCTGCCATGCACCTGTGGCTTGATCTAAAGGAACTACTTCCCAAACTGCAGATCCATTAAGAGACAGACTAAACATTGTAGAACATGAGCAAATTACCCACTCATGTTCCTCAATACAACAGTCTGTAGTAGAAATCATTGGTGTTTCACCTTCAGCCCAATATCCATTCCTTCCCAATCTAATTACTGAATTTCCTTGTCTAACCCCCATTGATTGGAATCGTCTAACTGTCATAATATTGCGTTTCCCATATTGAGGCCAGACCATAATCAAAGGTAATGTTCCAGAACCTGACAACGAATCTTCATTGATTGCGATTTTAACTAATGGAGCATGTTTAGCAGAAGTCAAATTAAGTTGTTTTCCAAAAACCAATAACAAAGATTCCGCTATTCGCTCAGGAACTTGCCCCATTCGAATAACCTGAATATCCTCTACCATTTGATCCTTCAAATTCTGAGCCAAAAATAAACACGCTGCACGATGTGTCTCAAAATTAGACGATTTCACTAATGCATCTGCCAATTCCCTCGCTGCGTCATTAAGATGCTGACCCGCTGCTATAATATGTAGAGAACCTTGAAGAGTCTCAGTAAGTCCTTTGCCGGTCATTGTTCCCACCCACTGAGAGTACTCACTTAATTGGTTCAGCTGAGCAGTATTACTAATTGAATTGACAGAGCCAAATACCCCCGCTATGTCTCCCCATATACTTCGAGGTTTGCGATTTCGACTTCCAAGAGGATCCTTAGAGGTATAATATTTAATTTCTTTTTCCAACCAGCTCCTAATTTTTGTGAAATTTCCACAATAGGACTGATCATAAACAGTAAGAAGAGACATCAAGTTATAATTAATGCGTTGTCGCACCATATGAGCTTCGTTTATCAAGGTTTTGGTTTCCTTTGCTAACAATATACCATGAGCTGGTGCAATAGTTGTACTTGGGCATGTTTTAGCTTTGTTTGTCTTTCCCGCAGAAAGATAAAAACACCGTCCAATTTCCCCAGTTTCTAATTCAGTCTCACAATATTCATTCGCATCTTCCGAATGCCAAACTCGTATGTAATTTCCCTTGAATCTAGTTGTCCTGGAGGTAGCATCCCATAGAAACCCCTCGCATGGTAACACTATGGGATAGATACAGCCTAGGGCTAATGAATCCCATATTGTAAGCATGTGGGTACGATTCAAAATGAAATTAATTTCCACATCAGTAGATGTTATGAGGTTTAACCCCACAATTTCACATTGTTCTTTTGAACAAATTTCTCGTCTTTGAGCACTACCGGTATACCCCCCATCTTTCACCGGCCAAATTACTCTGCTTTTGTAACATTGGTGGTGAAAGTTACATCCACCGTAGATGCCCACTCGATATTTAGCAAGGTCTTTATCATTACGTGGCACCCAATCCCATAATCCCCATCTGGAAATAAAGGGTAGAGTAAAACGTTGGCCAGATTTCAGGGTTGCATTCCGAGTAATTTCTTGAACTCGAGGAGTCCATAAAGCTTGGCTTCCTTGGTAAATGCCAAGTAAAATTAAAAACAAGCATACCATTGTCGTTGTGTATCGAGAATAACTTGCGACCATCTCTAATCAATGTCAATGGAATTGATTCCTGAAATGGAAGCAGAAAAATAATTAATCATCACTCCTTTTTCCCAAAGTTAATGAGTGAACAGTGCTCAATCTCAGGTCCTAAGCCTTCATCATTTTGTTCATTCACTAAGCAAGGTTTAACTTGTGACCAATGATACCATCTATCTGTTCCTACACCCTTCCCTTTTAGGCAGACACTTGTATCTGTTGTTAAGAGTACCTCATATGGCCCCTCCCACCTAGGTTCTAAACCTTTCCTGGGAATACGTTTGACCATAACAAAACTGCCTAACTCAGGAATGTGTGGAATGTCAGTAGTGGTATGTTTTTCATCCCATTGCTGTTGAGCTTCTCGCACTTTCTTATTATTGTCTTTGATTGCTTTGTCCAGCATTGCAAGATAGCGTCGTAGCTTCTCTTGGAACAAAGTAGAGTCTCCTCCTGTTCCCGCAGGCGGCGGAGCATCAGGAGGCAGAACCATTGCTCTTCCAGTCATCAGTTCAAAAGGAGTCAGTCCCGTTACTCTGTTCGGGGTTGCTCTCAGATTCCACAAAATTGCGGGTAACAACTTATGCCATCCTTGGCCAGTTTGCAGAATGGCCTTGGTAAGAGCGGTTTTCAACGATCTGTTCATCCGTTCCACTAGGCCTGAAGACTCAGGTCTATATGGGATGTGAAACTTCTGTTTAATCCCCATCAACTTCATTGCTTCCTTCATCAGTTTTCCAGTGAAGTGAGTTCCATTGTCAGAATCAAGTTCATATGGAAGACCCCAGCGAGGAAAGACTTGTTCAACCATCACTCGTGCGGCTGCTTCAGCAGTGCAGGTTTTTGTTGGGAATGCTTCCACCCATCTAGTAAATCTGTCCATGATTACTAGAATGTATTGGTACCCTCCACTGGGTGACAAAGGTCCTGTGAAATCGATTTGGAGATGTGTCCATGGACCTGTTGGTCTGGGTGCATGTGACATCCGCACCTTTACAGATTTTCCAACATTTGCTTTCAGACAGATCAAGCATCTTCTACAGTAATCATCAATGTCTCTCATCATTCGTGGCCACCACCACGTCTCGCTGATTTGAGCTTTCATTGCTTTTGCTCCAGCATGTACTTTTCCATGATACAGCTGCATTAGCTCCCTTCTTGTTCCGATAGGCATCACCACTTGTCCTGTTGGAATTCTCCAGATACCTTGATCATCCTCTTTCGCTCCCGCTTTTATCCATTGTTCTTTCTCTTCATCTGTCTCAGTTTGATATGACAGAAGGCGGAGCTCAGGATTATCTTCGCTGTTTTCCTGTACCAAGGTAACAGGAGTAAGAGGAAGTAGTGCTGCTTCTCTGGCCACTGCATCTGCTGCCGTGTTTCCTTGACTTTCTTTGGACTTGTCAGATTGATGTGATTTTACTTTGATCACGGCTGCTTCTCTGGGTAGGTGACATGCTGCAATCAAACGACGAATTATGGAAGCATGTTGTATTTCGCTCCCATTGCTGGTGATAAGTCCACGTTTTTTCCACAGGGCAAGGTAGTCATGGACCACTCCAAAAGCATAACGACTATCTGTGTAGATGTTGACTCGTTGTCCTTCCGATAATTCGAAAGCTTCTGCAAGTGCTATGAGCTCAGCTACTTGTGCTGAAAAATGCCCAGAAAGAGCTCCTTTCTTCACGACATTTCCATCAGCTTCCACTACAGCCCATCCAGTATGTCGTTTTCCATCAACATAGTAACTGGATCCATCGACCCATAACTCCTTGTCTGGATTTTCAAGAGGTGTTGGACTAACAGGACCAAGACTTTCTTCTTCTACTTGTTTTTCACACTCATGTGGTGTTCCCTCGTGTGGTTCGATCATCATCGTTGCAGGGTTAAGGGATGTGTCTCTGATGATTTCCACTCTCAAATCCTTGTTCAACAAAGTTGCTTCCCATTTTGCTCTCCTTGCATCAGTAATGGTCTTGATGTTTGTGTTGTTCAGCAACGTCACTATACTGTGTGGAGTATGCAATATGATTGTTTGTGCTCCTATCAAATTTTCCACAGCATCCACTGCCCATGTGGCACCATCGAGAGCTTGTATACATCGTGGTTGACCAATCATTGTAACAGGAATCTTTGTGGAAAAGTATCCAACAGGTCTGTATCGATCACCTGGTTTTTGACACAGTACTGCTGAGTACGTCTCATCTCCCACCCTGGTCCACAAATGAAACGGCAATCGTCCATCAGGAAGTCCCAAGGCTGGGGCTGAAGTCAGTTTTTCTTTCATTGAAGTAAATGCTTCCTCAGCTTCCGGTGTCCAGTTTATCTGTTCCATTCCAGGCTTTCCTCCCTTGTACAAGTCAATGAGGGGGCTGGTGATGCTGGCAAAATCAGGAATATACTGACGACAATAGTTGAAAAGTCCCATCACTTTCCTTATTCCTGTAACTGTTAGAGGTTTTGGAAGTTGCCGTATGCCTCCACACGCTCTGTTGTCAGTCTCCTTCCCTCGACAGATATTTCTTGGCCCAAGTAGATAACCTTGGTTTTGGCCAGCTGTGCTTTGTCGGGGTTGACTTTGAATCCTCCTTTCTTAAGGGCTTGTAGGACAATATTCAGAGCAAATATGTGGCTGTTTTCATCTGGGCTTGCAATTAACAAGTCATCCACGTATTGGAGGCAAACACTTCCTGAACTCTCAATTTCAGCTTTTTGCTCCGTTAAGAACTGATCCAAAGTTCTGTGAAATACCACAGGAGAAATATTAAGTCCTTGTGGGAGTCTGTTCCAGACATACTGTTTTGCACCCACTGTGAAGGCAAGTTTCTCTTGAGATTTTTCGTCAATAGGTATAGACCAGAAAGCAGACAGTACATCTAGTACTGTGAAAATTCTTGCATTTCCTGGAATATCATTCAGAATGGTGGCAGGATTGGCCACAATAGGATGCGGTTTTGGTGTTACACTGTTGAGTCTTGTGTAATCAATGGTTAATCTCCATGAGTTATCCGATTTCTTGACAGGCCAGACAGGACTATTAGTGGTTGATGAAGTTTGTCTGATGATCCCTTCAGCTTCCAAGTCTGCCACTATCTCTTCCACGGCTCGTCTTGCTTCAGGTCGGATAGGGTATTGTTTATGAGGGGCATGTGTCGGCCCTTCAATAACAACAGGGTCAATGTTGGCTTTGCCACAATCAAATTTGTGTTTAGCCCAAACTTCTGGATGTAAACTGCACAGAAGACCCCACACACCGTCTTTGGTCCAGTCTCTGATGATTGGTTTTGCTGCACCAACTGAACTCAAATTACATGTGCGATCTTCGTGTGGTATTATCCCAGCTGTTGTAGCGATTTGACGACTGTCAGTGAAGATGATCATGTTCAACAATGGAAGTATGTCCATGCCAATGAGGCTTCCTTGTGAATTCGGTCCCACCCAGAAAGATGTCCATACGACTTCATCTTCATGTATTTGTAGTGGAACTTGGATACTTTTATGAAATGTTGTGATACCTCCTCCAACTCCTTCAACTTCCATAGTTTCATCTGTTGTAGGTAGGTTCAGATCTGTTATTGAAATTGAGGCTCCTGTGTCAACCAGGATATCACATGGGTGGCCCCCTATTAATGCATTGATGAAAAGGCGATTGTCTCTTTTCTTACTAATACAGGGGGCCGCTGATTCCTATTGCGGACGCATAATTCCCTCTATGAGTTGACGGACTTGTGCTTCCGTCCATGTCTTCCCTTGAGAGGTTTCATCACGATTTTTCGCAGTGACTTGTTTAAATGATGGACCTTGACCTTCTGCTCCACCACCTTTAGCCCAGCAGTCTTTTCTTGAGTGGCCACGCTTTCCACAATTGCCGCAAACAACAATCTTATTCTTTGTATCCATGTTGTATTGAGCTGTCGCCACTCCTTTTCGATTTGTCTTGTTTCCTTCTTCCTTGTTTGATCTCATCGCCATCTCTAGACGGCCAGCCCATTGCATAATTTGGTCATATGTTTCGCCTGGATTGACTCCAAGTGATAACGCTTGTTGGTATTTAGAGCTAAACCCATCCACAAGTGTGTCAGTGAATTGTACATCATCTCTGTCAGGTTGTTTCTTAGCGCAGAGAGCCCATCTCTCATAAGTGTTCCACTTACGCAGAGCATATTCGTCTGGAGATTCATCATCCTTTTGCTTAATCAATGTCACTGAAGTGAATGGAATTTTACCGCTTCCAAGATTTCTTGGATTTCCTTTCGGAATACATCTAATGTTTGCCAAAGACCCAGGGGTCGTCCTTGGCCATCAACCCACAAGTCTACCCATTGGCTGTTTGTTATCGACGCTGGCAGGCGTTCCCATCGGTCTCTTGGGATTTTAGCTTTCACAATGGTGTGAATGTCTTTTAGTGTCATTTGATGTGCTTCAACCAGGGAGTCTAATTCTCGCCAAAACTCTGTGTTTGGATCTTGTCTCTTCAGAGGAGGCAAGGCTGAGAGAATGGCTTGTCGTTCTCCCGGAGTAAATGGTCTTTCTTTCGGTCATCAATCTCAGGTTGCGACTCTTCCCTTTTAATCACAGGTGAAGAAAATTTCAGGACCGATTTTGTCAATTGTAATCACGTCATCATCTCTTGTCTCATCACCCCAGTCAGATCCATAATTATGAGCTGGTGTACATCTCATCAATGTCTCTGCTTGGCTGGGCTGATTTAGATCTTGTTATTATTGGAGCTGCTTGTGCAGATGCAATATACATTTTGTCAACTGGACCTCCGTTTGATCTTGAAGCTTGAGGCTGCGTCAGAGGTTTAGATGAACTTGTATATTGTTCAGGCAAAGGTGGATAAATTGGTTTGTAAGGTGGAGGCGTTACTGTTGTCGCGGATTTCACTGGTGCTTGTGAATATTTCCTTTCAGCTTCAGTTATTATATTTGTCCAATCTGGATCAAATAAATCATCACTGGTTGTGTTTTCCTTCTCTGGACATGTGATGGACATGATTTTGTTTAATTTGTGGTATGCTTCAAGCTGAGGCTTCATAACTTCAACAAGCGTACCGGACCTCCATTTAAGTCACAACAAATTCCACCTTGTTTCACAATCCAATTAGCTGCTAAAATTGGAAATGCTTTTGATTTTATCTTGTCTTTTTGGGACTCGAACCAGCTTAACTGCTCATTCATAGATGCATTAATGTCCAGTCCTTTTTTCAAAAGTTTAGTTAGTTTCTTGTTCTTCTTCTTTTCAAGATACCATTCAGCTATTGTGCTGCTGGTACAGACACTTGCTGCCATCTTCAAGTGTTAAAAGTCTGTGCACTCAGAACAGTCTGTTAACTCAGAACAGCAGGGATGTATGTTGCCTATGTGTGTGTGTGATTAACGGTATGTGCGTCTATGTTCAGAAACTGCAGCCTATGTGATGCGTCTGTGTTGTGCTCAGAGCTGCAGGCTGTCTGTATATGTATGTGTGTGTGCTCAGAGCTGCAGCTGTGTGTGTGTATAGGTATGTGTGTGTGGGGCTCCCTGCCTCTCTCCCTCACCAACTGGATGTGTGTGTGTGGTACAGGGCAATTCTGAAGGGAGGGGCTGCTTCGCTCTCTTTCTCCCTCACTCACAGAACAAAAGAAAAATTTAAAGAAAAGTTAACTCTAATGCTTTTCAGTATTTTAGTTTTCTTTTTAAAACTCAAAAAGTTTAAAAGTTCCTTTTTTTTTTTCTTTTTAATACTTTGGATTTTATCTCAGATTAATTTCTTTGGTATTTATTTTTTTCCTTAAAGTTAACTCGGATCAGTCTCCTCAAATATTTGAACAGCTTTACGGTCAGGTTCAGAATGCCCACGATCCTAGCTAGTTACAAGGGCGCCTTTTATACTTGTATAACTCTAGCGTGTTACAATGTTTTAGGGATTACTCTGCCATCATTTTTAAAACAGTCCCGCCACATTTAACCGCTTTGGTCAATCAAGTATCGCCTGTGTTACAACTTCCCTCGTCTCCTACTGAGAACGAATCTTCGGTGTGCTGGATGTTTTAGGGATTACTCTGCCTTCTTTAAACAGTCCCGCCACTATCCAACCACGTCGCAGTTATAACCAAGCAAATTTTACTAGCTTAACCGTTTTACAGCTAATTCCAAATTTCTGACTAGATGGTCTTTTTTCTAAAAAAGATCCATCTCTATCCCAGCATTTCAAATATTGTCTGAGGTTTACTTTTCAGAGAACCTTAAATAAGCCTAATTCAGTTTGATTATTTAATTTGATTAATTTTATACAATTTTTCCTTATGTTCCCATATTCATTGGCAAAACAACTGGTACTTAAAAATAACACAGTTCTTTTCAGCATTTCAGTCACTGTCTCTAATCATCAGGCAGACTTAAAACTTTTAGAAAGGAAAAAAAAGTCTTACCTGAAATGATTGAGACGAATGCCTGGGTATGCGATCCTTTTCGTGTGACGCCAAAAATGTAGATTTAAAATCTTCGTTTCCCCTTGTTATTTAATTTAATGAAAAGACACCAGTCATTCTGCCAATATATGTTATTTATTTTACCAATTTTATATAAGACATAAGGGAGAGAGAGTGACCAGCAAAGATCGTCCTTGTTGCCTCTCTGTATTTTTCCTCTCTCTGTCTCAAACAAAGAACTTACACAGTACATATAGCTGTTAACATCTGCTCTCAATCAATCACCGAAATGTATATTCTGCTCCACGGAAAGAAACATAATACACTCAACTTCCCCCCAAGTCCCCCAAACTCTAAAAGTCTTCCACATACAGAATTCAGAAAAGTTTGATTCATAAAAATGTAGATTATAAATGATTATGAATATATATGAAAAGTATAAAAAAATGTATATGAAAAGTGTAAATCACATGCATAATACTAATGATTATGATTAT